TCTTTCTCTCTCTTCTTTTTCCCATCGTTGTCGGGTCCACAAAACACAACCGTCGAATGTTGCAGTGGTCACCGGTTTTTGGAGAGCTTCAACAGGATGAACAGGGGATATTCGTTGCTGCTCTCCGTCGTTTGGTCCGGCCAACACACAGGAAAAAAAGAAGGGGAGATCCGCCGCTGTTGCCAGTGATAGTCATCCGTATTTTTAGTGAGCATGTTTCCGAAACCTCCGTTGTGGGTATGTCGTCGAAATCGCCGCCTGTCTTTTCCTCCACTACACAAGCGACCTGCTTTGAGAAGGAAAACGATCTCAGATATGCACAAACGACCATTGGGTTGAAGAAATCGAAAGTTGTTTTTTCTACTAAGGAGATAAACCCTTTTTTTCTGCAACTTTTTATTTGTTTTAATGTGACCTACAGTTTCCACGATGGAGTTCAACCAGTTTTGCCTCTAGCATTTGGTTATATTATCCTAGACCTTTGAAACGAGTGAAAAAAAAATGATCTTCTTAAGAGTTTCCTTTCATTTGTTCCCAAATGGCGTTTAGGTTTTAGATTTTGAGGTTTGAGTTCAAGTCCCAAAATTAGGTGCTTAAGAAGCAGTGGCAGGAGGGKATCTTAACATGCATTTGTTGAGTGTCAACTGTCTGCTCCTTTTTGTTTTTACATTTGAGAGATATTTCCAATTTTCTCCGCAGCTCTGGAGTTTTTAGGGTGAAATCCAGAGTAGCCGACATCTTCTTTTTTAATATATTTTAACTATTTATCAAAAAAGAGGCAAAAGGATTCACCGAAGGAGGAGAAGAAGAAGGCTTCGTCGTTTCCGGATGAGGTCTTAGAATGTGTTCTTGGTTTCGTGAAATTCCACGGGGATAGGAGCTCTATTTTTCTGGTTTGTAAGGACTGGTATAACACCAAGAAGCAGGTTTCCGCCACTCCGGTTAGACCGCCACCGGTGGCCTTTTTCCTTGTATTATTTTGAAAATTTGAAGAAAAATAAAGGGTAAAATAATTTTTTTTTGTCTTTCTATTAACCGGCACTAACGGTGAGGAAAGTATTACTCAATTGTAAGGGTAACATTAGTTAATTTTCAAATAGTAAAAGTATAATTAGTCAATTAAGTAAATCAAAAGGATAGTTTAAGAAATTTACCCTTAAATTAATTTGAACCATCTAAATAGAATTTTGTATTTTCTTTTTAAAAGTAATACCTGATACCTAAAATATCAAACTAAGATATAGCATCTGACATAGGATTGTTAATGGTACTCGAAAATCTGAGATCCGATCCAACATCCGATCCGATTATTCCGGATTCGCACGATGTATATGTGTAATTGGATCGGTTTTGGATTTGACCCCATCAGATCCAATTAAAATTCGAATCTGATTATAATATAACATTTATTGATATTAATATATAAGTTTTATATAATTATATTTTAAATTATAAAAACTTATTCTATATATTATATTATATTATATGTGAATTTATGTATATAATAAATTTAGTGTGTTATATTTATATTAATTTGTTATATATAAAGGTTAATAAATAAATAAATTTTCAATATTTCTGATATTTTAGAAAATTTGTATAAGAGTGAGATTAAATCTAAATCCCATCCGAGTCTTTAAATTCGGTCATATTCGAATGATCGGATCAGATGCGGATTTTGCTGCATCCGATCTGAGCACAGCCCTAATAATACAACAAAAAAACTAAAGATATAGCATTTGTTTTTCTTATGACTTAAAATCGGGTCAGGCTGATTTGAATCAAGTTAGTGCATTTTCGGGTCATTTCGAATTGGGTTGGTTGTTGGGGTTAAGTCAATAAATGTTGGACCATCACCCTAATATTTAGTTTAGGGTTGACCCAAGGGTCAAATAGGTCAATGGTTCAACACTCGGGTCAGTTAGTGTTTGACCAAATTATCACTTTTACAAAAAATACAGGTTTAATCATTTAATTCAAATGATTTGAATGGTTCAACCATCCAAGTTAATATTGATTTGAAAATGTTGGTACAAAAAATACGTGGCCCATGGTCTGGCCCAACCTAACCCAAATTCTTTTAAGGTTAGGTCTAGTTACATTGACTTCTTGTTCGGGTCATTGTACAAGGGATCCTAACCCACTTTTTTTAGGGAAACCCTAACCTGCTTTTTTTCAATTTAGGTCAATATTTTACCAGGTTTGGCCCAATTCATTGGTTTAGTAATAGTTTTGTTCAATTTTTGACAATTATTATTTTTTTTTGGCAAAAACTACTTATACTTCTGGTCAAGCAACAATTATCCATGTTTTCAACCAACCACCGACTTGAATGGTTGAACCATTCAAACCATCACCCATCCATGATCTAGGTCTAGTTCTTCTAAATGTATATACAAACTTTTAGAGGCCATAACTTTGTACTCGATTGTCTAATTAAGATGATCTTTATATTAATTTTGGATAACTTTTTGAGATCTATGTGCTCGAAGGGCCAAAGGCACCTTGCCCCACTATTTTTACAAAAAAAAAAACCTATTCTCTTGGCATCAAATCCCAAATTTTAACCTTTTTAAAATAAAAAATTAATAACTGAAATAAAAATGTAAATTAAACATACATACAAGATGATTATACATTATTTTATTGACATAGTACATGTTTATACATATATAAATACATATATACATATGATAATGTGTAACAATTTGACCCGTTCAACTCGGATGATCAAACTAGTGACCCATAACTTGGAGGCAAAAATGGTTCAACTCCTGGATGATTTAAAACATTATTGTTGCCAAAAGTCAATTCTTTTGTAATGTGGAAAGAAATTATATTTATGTCATAAAAAGCTAAAACTGAAAACACCATGTTTTCTTCTTTTCATTTGTATTTTTATATATTTTCAAACATCTCTGTCACTTCAAATATTTAATAATAATTTTTACATAGTTTTCTTTAATTTTCGTATTTTTTCTTAATTATGATGTCATAGGATGACCCTATTTTGATTAATTACACCATAGTCAAATCAAATTTGCTAGAGTCGATCTTGTCAAGTTTGAATTAAGCCAAAATTTACCAAACTTGATCCACAATATAAAATAAGTTTTTTGGAGGCATTTTTTTGGCTATCATAGACTTGAGTGTTAAACCTTATACATTAAAGTAAACTTTTGTTCTTTAATCTATTTGTTAATGTGTTAAATATGCCTATAGCTATGATTTTCTACGATTGTTGCCAAAGGTACAATGAAATTAGCAACAATCAAAGATGTAATTACCAACAATTGATTAACCTTTGTTATCAATGCATTGATTTAATAACAGTTGGAGATACAACCAACAACGATTTAATAACAGTTGAGTAAGTGTTGTTGTCAATTCATTTAATCTAGCAATAATGTTGATCAAGTGTTGCTAAAATATTGTTTTACTATAATCAAGTGCCTGTTGCTAAAGGCCAGATTTTTTTTTGTAGTGGATGCAGATTATTATTATTCACTAATATGCTTATGTCAGGAAAATCATCTTATTATATGTAGTTAATCTGGATACACTCTATCTGATGAAAACTTAAACTGCCGACAGTCGATTTCAACCGTTGAAATTTGTTTTGCAATATATATATATATATATATATATATATA